TGGTGGAATATCTCAAATCAGTGAAGAAGAGATCTTAGATACAATAAATAAAGTATTAGGTGTAATCAGGAAATTGCAGAATGGGTTGAGATTGATAAGAACGAACCAACTGGGGAAGAACTAACGGATGAAGTTATTTTACAACAAGTTCTGAATCTTTAACCAGTAAATGTTGAAGAGCAAATGTAAAGCACATTGAAAATCTTGCGCATTTAGTAATTTTTCGGACTCTTCAGCTTTCGTCTTTAAATATGGAAACTTTTTGACACATTTAAATTGCTCTTAGCAAAGAATCAAATAGAAGTCGGAGACTTGGGGGATTTATTTATTTATTCCGTAGCTGATGAATTGTTTTGTATGGGTGATTTTAATGTGAATGCTCTTGTTATGGGCTACGATTATAGACGTTTCTTGATGTAATTGGTACATTTAACTTGAAACAGTTAATTAATGAACCTACCAGAATTACCGCAGATTCCCGGACTTTGATTGATTATATTATTGCGTATGAGGATGCAAACATTGTTCAAACAGGAGTTATGGAGAGAAATATTTCGGATCATTGCATGGNAAAGCAAAGGTAAAGCACATTGAAAATCTTGCGCATTTAGTAATTTTTCGGACTCTTCAGCTTTCGTCTTTAAATATGGAAACTTTTTGACACATTTAAATTGCTCTTAGCAAAGAATCAAATAGAAGTCGGAGACTTGGGGGATTTATTTATTTATTCCGTAGCTGATGAATTGTTTTGTATGGGTGATTTTAATGTGAATGCTCTTGTTATGGGCTACGATTATAGACGTTTCTTGATGTAATTGGTACATTTAACTTGAAACAGTTAATTAATGAACCTACCAGAATTACCGCAGATTCCCGGACTTTGATTGATTATATTATTGCGTATGAGGATGCAAACATTGTTCAAACAGGAGTTATGGAGAGAAATATTTCGGATCATTGCATGGTTCACTGTACAGGGTGTCCAAATTTCGATGGGTTTGCAGGGTATCTCAGTTATTATGAAAGATAGAAAGTTGCGGCTTTCACGAACCTGAGCTACTTTTTCGTGAAACTTACAATGGCGCAAACCAAATTTTCATAGCCCTCTTCGTTTTTGATATAGAGAGAGTGTTTGAAATTTACGATTTTCAAACACCTCCTGTATCTCGGCTATCCGGAAACTTAGTAAAAAAGTAAAAACGGGTTCTAATAGATTTTTCACGTGGAATCCAATGGTGCATATAGAATTTTTCTAGTCATCACGGTTTTTGAGTTATAAACATAACTCAAATACTGAATACTCAACTTCTAAAATACTTAACTCTTTATAACTCAAAAACCGTGATGACTACAAAAATTCTACGTGCACCATTGGATTCTACGTGAAAAAATCTATTAGAACCCGTTTTTACGTTTCCGGATAGCCGAGATACAAAGGTGTCTGAAAATCGTAAATTTCAAACACTCCCTGTATATCAAAAACGAAGAGGGCTATGAAAATTTGGTTTGCGCCATTGTAAGTTTCACAAAAAAGTAGCTCAGGTTCGCGAAAGCCGCAACTTTCTATATTTTATAATAACTGAGATTCGGTGCAAACCCATCGAAATTTGGACACCTGTACATATGATTCCAAAAAAGAAATAAGGAAACCAATGAGTCGCACAATTAGATCTTTTAAAAAGTTTGATTACGATATGTTTATGTCTGATTTGATGGCGATTCCTTGGTTTACTATGTACGATATTATATAGTATTTCACAATTTGCGATCTATAATAGATTTTCATGCTCCGTTGAGCAACATCATTCTGGTTTACTGATAACATTAAATTACTGATCAAATTAAGAAATGATGCCTTGAAGAGATACAAGTGTACGGGCAGAGAGAGTAACGGTAACTATTACAGATCCTTGAGAAATTTCACAACCACTACAATTAGATCAGAAAAACAAGCATACTTTTCTCAGGAGTTATCTAATAGAACAAATGCTGAGAAATGGAAATTTCTCCAAAGCAATAGTATGATCAAGCTCAAATCTAAATATAATTTATTAATACCAGATCATTTTAATGACGTCAATTTAATCATTTCATTTTTTGTTCAATCTCATTTTCAGCCTGATAATAACATTATAGTTGGATACAACAATTCATGTGTTAAATCCACAGTGCGAGTAATAATAAATTTCAATGAAATAAGTGATAGTGATATTCATGAGGTGATTTGCAGCCTGAGGTCGGGTTCTTGTGCAGTGGATGGTATTAATTTAAAATTGATAAACCTTTGCTGCCCTTCTATAATTCCCGAAATTAGACACATAGTTAATGCATGTATAACTGAGGCTAAGGTCCCTGAGTGTTGGAAGCAATCGGTTGTAATTTATCCTGATCGCTTGTCGGAATTGAGACCGATTAATATATTACCAACACTATCAAAAATTTTTGAAAAAATAATAGCATCTCAGCTGCAAAAACATGTTGTCGAGTCTGATATCTTTCCTAAATATCAATCTGGGTTCAGAACGGGTTTTAGTTGTGACAGTGCTTTAGCGTGTATTACGGACGATATTTTGTCTGCTTGTGACAATGGTTATTTGACGGTGTTAATTACACTGGATTACAGTAAAGCATTCGACACTGTTAATCATGAAATTTTATTGACTGTTCTGCATTATATAGGTTTGGATGATAAATCAATAAGATTAATGAATAGTTATTTGCAGGCTAGGTCGCAATGTGTTAAGTTAAATCAGAATACCTCAGAATTCATGATTATAAGCACAGGAGTACTGCAAGGTTCAATACTTGAACCTATTTTGTTCTCTATCTATACATCTAAACTGCATGAGAGTATGAAAACTTGTAAATATATATAGTGTATTACTCTTTTTCTATTGATAAATGTAGGGAGTCGGCTCAACTGATCAACCTTGATCTTGCAAGTTTAACAAAGTACTCTGAACAACACAATTTAAAACTAAATCCCTCTAAATGCTCAATGATTGTATTTGGTAGTATGGTTAAGGGCATTGTGAATATTGAGCGAGATCTAGGTATTGAAATAAATGAGGCACGAATACTTTGTGTGGAACAAGTTAAGGTTGACACACCTGTGGGGTGCATCTGCTACAGCAGAGGGTATTACCTGGAATCAAACAGTAGCCTAATCTTTTCTGAGCATTTTCTTTTTTTATTCACTCTATTATCTCTGTTACTAACGAAGATGCAGTATTTTAAAGCGATCGCCTGTGTAAACAAGATGAGTGACAATAGTAGCTGATGACCGTTTTATTGTTCTAAGCAATCGTAGAACGACAGCTATAGAAGCTCGGCGTCGTCTTCAAATGGTGCATGTTGTTGATGTCAGTGAGAGAACCATTTGCTGAAAACTTGCTAGAAGTAGTCTGGCTGCAAGAAGGCTGCTTCCAAGATATCGACGAGCCCATCTTCAATCTGCGCGCTTACATGTCAATTGGGAAACCGAGCAATGGAGGAAAGTCCTTTTTACGGATGAGTGGTGGTTTTGTCTACTATCAACAATAAAATGGGAGTAGGACACGACAGCTTCTTGCAGAATATCTTGGATATAGCGGTGGGCATTTAGCGTGCCAATTTCAACAAAGATGAGCGAGGTATGCGCTTCCGTCGAAATACGCGCCCATACCATGACCGAACTTCCATGGAAAGGTACTCTTTCCGAAATTGTGCAGGTCGCAAAGCTTTCATTACGACATCTCCACACTCATTCTCGACCATCCGGTGAACGTCATCAGTGAAGAGCACCTTACCCCATTGTTCCATTCCCCAATTCGTATGTAGACACCCAAATTGAAGACGTGCTCGCCGATGTCTCTGGAGCAGGCGCTGTGTTTTGGCAGGTCTTCTTGCAGTCAGATCACTTTCAGCAAGTCTTCGACGAATGGTTTTTTCACTTACATCAACCCCACGCACCATTTGAAGACGATGCCGAGTTTCTACAACTGTCGTTCTACGATTTCTCAGAGTGTTTAGAACAATAAATTGGTCATCAACTGCTGTTGTCACTCATCTTCCACCGGAACCTTGCCGCCTAGTAAAATTTCCTGTTTCCACACATCGGTTCCAGGTATCCTGAACTGTTGTTCGTGGTATACCCAACGTATGGGCAACGTACCGCTGAGTTTTGCCATCCTCAATTAAAGTAACAATACGGGCAACATCAGTTACTGACAACGGCATCTTTAACAACTGTCAATTTACTATTCGAAACAACTCTCATACGCTACCTAGCGCTCCACTTTATTTATGATTTGTTATGCTTGTTTGTTTTGTTTTCACAGGCGTTCGCTCTAAAACACTGCATCTTCGTTAGTAATAGAGATAATAGAGTGAATAAAAAAACAAACTGTTCAGAAAAGATTGGGCTACCGTTTGATTCCAGTTAACACCCTCTGCTGTAGCATCTACACCTCATAGGGTATTACAAATTTCGAGAAAAAAAGTTATTCTCATTCTTGCACCCCGTATATACTCAAATTAATGTCCGAATAAAAATTTCTACCGCAGGATTGTTACAGAAGAATCAACCTTTCGATCAAAAAAAGAATCATCAAAATCGAATGAGTGGTTCGCGAGAAACCCAGCTTTGAAATTGTGGCTAAATTTTAGTGGCCGGTTTTTTTTTGCCGGTCAGTGTATTAACTACAGTTGCTAAATTAATGTTCTGTGACTCGCTTATATTATCAGTATTTAATCCCTATTGATATTGTAATAGCAAAGCTTATATATATAAAATGATTATTATTATTTCCCGAAATTTTACACACTTGCACAGTAGGTAGCAAACAACAAATAAATTCTAAGTTGAAAATTTATTAAGTTATAACCGATATACGTTATATGTGATAGACTTTTACTATAAGCAAGTGAAAAAAAAACTTACTCTACTGTAAATATTGAAAGGTAATTAATTGAAACGAATTTTTAATAATTTTATTATGTACAAATATTACAATAACCATAACGTTTTGATAAAAAAGAATTATTTCGGATAAATAAATAATTCAAAGAAAAAAAGTTTAAATAAAAAATCACGCTTCTTCACACTCGGGAATCGTCGGTGGTATAGCTAAAGAATGTTGTTGTTGCTGTTGTAATTGTTGTTGTTTCGAATCTTCATCAAAATCCCTAGTATCTTCAAAATCATCCTCATCCTCCTCCAAACTTTTCTGCAAACTCATCAACTTCATTTGGTAATAACGTTTTTCTTCGTTAATACACGCCAAATCTTTTTCTTGCTCCGCAATGACTTGTTTTAGGTCAGAAATTTGATTTAAATCTTCTTGTCTAGATTCTCTCCGTTCGTATCTCGATCGAACTTCCTCAAATCTGATTATTTAATTCGTCAAACTTTAATTTTAATTAAGTAATAAAATTGATTATAACTTACAATTTGGTTAAACACTCGCATTTTCTTTGTAAATGATCTATCGTCGTATTCGATTGCTTTTTAATCTGCATAACGTTACTTTCGTATTGGTTCTTATCGGATTCGTGTTGCTGTTGGAGCTCGGCGATTTCTTTTTGAAGATTTCTACTCGAATTTTTTGAGTCAGTCAAAAAATTAAAATAAATGCAAAAAACACAGAAAACAAAGCCACACGCAATTAGAAACAAATATAAACAAAGGCACACGATAACGAACACTAAAATGCTTTGATTTTGTTAAGAATTTTTATCTTTTTGTCGTAAAATGTTAAAGTGGTGAAGGAAATAAATCCAAATGGTGATGTAAACGAGAACGTTTGAATGTGTTACGACCCAAATAAGGATTGTTAACAGGAAAACACCGAAGGCTAAGCCCTTTGATAACTCCTTCGTTTGTCTATAACGAAAAAAATGGGAAAAGAAAATAAATAAAATTAGTTTTGAATTAGACGAGATTTAAATTTAGTTTTGGACGATTACAAATGATTACAAAGAGAATTACGAATAATATAGAGATTGTTAAAAGCATTTTCAAGCCGCTGTTATAATTAATTAATTAATTAATTAATATTAAATTCTAATTAATCTACTTGAGAATGCTCTAAATATTAATTAATAATACATATTTGTTTTTTTACCTTATCGTGCAATTGAGAACTTGAACGCCACCTTCCAAAGTATCCACGTTATTCTGCAAATCATCCACAGCCGAATTTTTGCTGCTTATTTCATTTTTTAAGGCATCTATCGATTTTAACAGTTCGATTTCTCTCGATTCATGCGATTTTTGTTGTGCGTAGAATTGTTCTTCCAATCGATTGTACTTATCAACGTATTCATCTTCGACTAATTTGATGGCCTCACTTTTCTGATGAATTAAATTTGCCCATTGAGTATCTAAAATGAATTTATTTAAAAAAAATTAATATATCAAATTTTAATGATCAAGTTTTTTGATTTATTTTGCATTATTAAAGTTAATTTAAATTAAACTTGTGGGTTTTTAATGTCTAAAAAAGCTCACAAAAGACGTGTTATAAGCTTGGGTGAAAAAGCTTGGGTGTTGGCTAAACACAAGACTTTGGTCTTCTAGAGTAGATTAGAACGTAGTCACTATACTGCTCCATTCCTCTCCCTTTCTTTTTTGTCTCGGAGATTGCCCAAATATTGATATTTTTTTGTTGCTACTCAAGAATGATTTTCTGGTCATTCTTTCTTGTTATTGAAATTTCTTACTTGTTTGATCTGCAGTATATCTCAGATTATATGGGACACGATAGGTATCAGATAATCTTGAAGTGCTTGCAATTTGCACACAAATTCTTTTGAGCACGCATCGAAGCCATACATTATTTCAATGACAAAATGATGGAAATATATTATCCAGAAAAACATTTATCGTTGGATGAGTCGATTCAGGCAATATACACGGTATAACAAAAGTTTTTTATATAAACAAAAGAGTTGCGATCTTTTGTTTTCGAGCTATGAGTGATCAAAGTTTGACTTTGAAACTTTCTACTTACTATTGATTAGCAAGTGAGGCGCAGGCCTAAACCCGAATATTTCTAATGTTAGTTGTTAGATAAAAACACCTTAAGATAATATTGTATATACAGGGTGAGTTATTCGTATCTCGGCGGTCGATAGTTACTAAACCATTTGAAAAACAAAAAAATATTTTATATAAAAATTGTTTGACTCATCACTTTCTATTACGTAAAATTATACAGGTATCCCATTTAAGCGTAACGGAGAGTACGTAAATTCATTTAAATGGAACAGCCTGTATATTTTATCATATTATGAATACAACTAAATTTATTTATACAACCGTATATGTTACTATTTTACAGTGTTCATAATTTTTGAGATATTCAATTGTTCCAAAATGTGCCCATTACAAGATCTTTTCGTAGACGATAATATTCAAAGATATTAGATACACTATACAGGTGTTTATAAAGCTTAGTTACTTTTGATGTTTTTCAAATGGCTTTTTTTTAAATTTTTTAAATGGAACATCCTGTATATTGTGTGCTAGTTGAATTACTCATCAAGTTCCCTTTAATTAATGATAAGTATGTCATATGTCAAACTTTAATAGTTTTCCTGATATTTAGAATTTAAAGAAAAATGTGTAATAAAATGTCATTATTGTACTTAAAAAAGTGACAGAACGTAATATATTCTCTCCTTTTTTTGTCACATATTTTTTGCTTGTCTGTCATTTGTAAATCAGTAATATTACAGTGACACAATAAAGTCTACATACAGCCCGGAAAATGATAATATCTCAGCTCTCGAAATGTAATTCAATGACATTTTTAACAAAACATGTAAGAAGTCTATATTATTTCCATATTTTACATAAGGACTATATAAGATATTATTAATCAAGTACATACAGTCCTAAAAAAAAGTCTATCAGTGTCCGTTATAGCTCAATAAAAATATACAACTATCTAGCGCTGAATAACAAATAAAACTAGACTAACACTAGCACTAGACTTAGAATTAAACACATTCCGTTTAGCCGTGCATCTCTTAAAACGGCTAAACCTGAATGTTTCTACTTTTAGGTGTAATGTTAGTTCTAGAGACTACCTAGACTACTTCTAGGTGGATTGATTTATTTCAGAATTTTGTGTGGATATTCCACTTTGATTTAGGTTAATTAAGGTTAATTTAGGTTAATTAAGCAGAAGGTGCGTTGTAAATTCCGGGTTGCGTTGAAGACCCAATACTTTCTAGTTCTAGTGTAGTTCTGGTTTTACACTAGCACTATCACTAGAACTAACACAAGACCTAGAACTAGAATCATTCGGGTTTAGCTTGTTTCTAGTTCTCGATCTAGTGTTAGTTCTAGTTTTGCTGGATCACTAGAACTAACACTAGACCGAAAACTAGAATCATTCGGGTTTAGCCGTCTTGAGAGACGTGCGGCTAAACCCGAATGATTCTAGTTTTTGGTCTAGTGTTAGTTCTAGGTCTAATGTTAGTTCTAGTGACAGCCTTAGGTAGCATTAGTTAACATAAGATATAACTGTGTTGCATATATTCATTGAACTAACACTAGAACTAACACTAGACCTAAAACTAGAAAGTATTGGGTTTAGCCGTGCTTCGTCAGACTACACTATGTTGTATATTTTTATTGAACTAAAACTAGAACTATCACTAGAACTAACATAAGACCTAGAACTAGCATAATTCGGGTTTTGCCGTCTTGAGAGACGTGCGGCTAAATTCGAATATTTCTAGTTCTAGATCTAATGTTAGTTCTAGTTTTGGACTATCACTAGAACTAATAAAAGACCTAGAACTAGAATAATTCGGGTTTAGCCGTCTTGAGAGACGTGCAGCTAAATCCGAATGTTTCTAGTTCTAGATCTAGTGTTAGTTCTAGTTTTAGACTATTACTAGAACTAATACAAGACCTAGAACTAGAATAATTCGGGTTTAGCCGTCTTGAGAGACGTGCGGCGGCTAAATCCGAATATTTCTAGTTCTAGATCTAGTGTTAGTTCTAGTTTTGGACTATCACTAGATCTAACACAAGACCTAGAACTAGAATAATTCGGGTTTAGCCGTCTTGAGAGACGTGCGGCTAAATCCGAATATTTCTAGTTCTAGATCTAGTGTTAATCTAACACAAGACCTAGAACTAGAATAATTCGGGTTTAGCCGTCTTGAGAGACGTGCGGCTAAATCCGAATATTTCTAGTTCTAGATCTAGTGTTAATTCTAGTTTTGGACTATCACTAGAACTAATACAAGACCTAGAACTAGAATAATTCGGGTTTAGTCGTCTTGAGAGACGTGCGGCTAAATCCGAATATTTCTAGTTCTAGTATTAGTTCTAGTTTTGGACTATCACTTGAACTAACACAAGACCTAGAACTAGTATAATCCGGGTTTAGCAGTCTTGAGAGACGTGCGACTAAATCTACTGCTGTAGTCTTCACTTCGTAGCACAAGTCGAACTGTTTCATCTTTATATTAAAATAATATAGACTTNAATAATTCGAGTTTAGCCGTCTTGAGAGACGTGCGACTAAATCTACTGCTGTAGTCTTCACTTCGTAGCACAAGTCGAACTGTTTCATCTTTATATTAAAATAATATAGACTTCTAATATCCTTCGTTTAAAAAATTCATTGAATTACATTTCAGGAGCTCAGATATTATCATTTTCTGGGGTGTATGTAAACTTTATTGTATAACTGTATATTAAAATACATGAAATGGCAGAACAATAAATGCCTTTCTTAATTACTAAATTATTTGAAGGAAATGCAGCAACAAACTATAAAGAATTACTAAACGTTGCTCAACAAGTAGGTATTAATTTAATTAATATTTAGAAGTTGTTCAAAATGCCGCCCATTTTCTCTTCTACAAGCATTAATGAGCTGTATAAAAGANAGCATAATACAGGTTTAGCCGTCTTGAGAGACGTGCGACTAAATCTACTGCTGTAGTCTTCACTTCGTAGCACAAGTCGAACTGTTTCATCTTTATATTAAAATAATATAGACTTCTAATATCCTTCGTTTAAAAAATTCATTGAATTACATTTCAGGAGCTGAGATATTATCATTTTCTGGGGTGTATGTAAACTTTATTGTATAACTGTATATTAAAATACGTTAAATGGCAGAACAATAAATGCCTTTTTTAATTGTTAAATTATTTGAAGGAAATGCAGCAACAAACTATAAACAATTATTAAACGTTGCTCAACAAGTAGGTATTAATTTAATTAATATTTAGAAGTTGTTCAAAATGCCGTCCATTTTCTTTTCTACAAGCATTAATGAGCTATATAAAAGATCTTGAGGTATCTCTTAACATTTACATTTTATTTTCTCTAAAGTTGTAAATTATGTGACACAACAATTGCATATTTTATTACTCACATCTTTTTAAATCCCATAAAGTAGCAACTCGCATTAAAATCTGGTATATGGCAGTAAAATTATTTTGCACTATAAATTAATAATAAATATTATTAATATAAAATAGACAGAATATAATATTATACATTATGCTTTAAATTCTAAATATCAGGAAAACTACTAAAGTTAGATATATGACACACTTATCATTAATTAAAGGTAACTTGATGGGCAATTCAAACAGCACACAATACACAGGGTGTTCCATTTAAAAAACCTATGAAAAAGCAATTTGAAAAACATTAAAAGTAACTAAGCTTTATGTATAGCGTATCTAATATCTTTGGATACTATCATTTACCTACTGACTTTGACTATTATCTGACATAGTTTCAAGGCTAAAAGAAAAAAAATTTTATATCGTTTTTAAAAACATCCTGTATAGACACATTTTGGAAAAACAATTGAATATCTCAGGAACTATGAACGCTATGAATTAGTTGTATAAACAAATTTAATTCTATTCATGTGATAAAATATACAGGGTGATCCATTTAAAAAAATCTATATACTCTCACTTACGCCTAAATGGAACACCTGTATAAGTGAAACAACTTTTGTACAGGTGTCCCGCAACGATTGTACAAAACTGCATCAGCGTATTCTATGATCAAAAATAAACAAAAAAGCCTAATAAACATAGGTCCGAAAATGGACCATTTTCGAGATATTCAAAGATTTAGTTTCATAAGTTGATATTGTTAACATCATGAATTTAAATTTGTTTTTATAATAATTAAGTCNCAGTTACTAAACGTTGCTCAACAAGTAGGTATTAATTTAATTAATATTTAGAAGTTGTTCAAAATGCCGCCCATTTTCTCTTCTACAAGCATTAATGAGCTGTATAAAAGATCTTGAGGTATCTCTTAACATTTATATGTTATTTTCTCTAAAGTCGTAAATTATGTGGCACAACAATTGCATATTTTATTACTCACATCTTTTTAAATCCCATAAAGTAGCAAGTCGCATTAAAATCTGGTATATGGCAGCAAAATTATTTTACATTATAAAATATTAATAACAAATATTTTTAATATAAAATAGACAGAATATAATATTAAGTACTAATTCTAAATATCAGGAAAACTACTAAAGTTAGATATGATGGGCAATTCAACCAGCACACAATACACAGGGTGTTCCATTTAAAAAACCTATGAAAAAGCAATTTGAAAAACATCAAAAGTAACTAAGCTTTATGTATAGCGTATCTAATATCTTTGGATACTATCATTTACCTACTGACTTTGACTATTATCTGACAAAGTTTCAAAGCAAAAATGAAAAAAAATTATTACATCGTTTTTAAAAACATCCTGAATAGACACATTTTGGAAAAACAATTGAATATCTCAGGAACTATGAACGCTATGAGTTAGTTGTATAAACAAATTTAATTCTGTTCATGTGATAAAATATACAGGGTGTTCCATTTAAAAAATCTATATACTCTCAATTACGCCTAAATGGAACACCTGTATAAGTGAAACAACTTTTGTACAGGTGTCCCGCAACGATTGTACAAAACTGCATCAGCGTATTCTATGATCAAAAAATTCTATGACCATTTTCGAGATATTCAAAGATTTAGTTTTATAAGTTGATATTGTTAACATCATGAATTTAAATTTGTTTTTATAATAATTAAGTCGTTACTATGATTACGATAAGTTGTCTAATCAAAAATCAATTACAAACCTAATCAG